CCAGGCTCCTCGGCAGCCCTGCCCCGGCGGCCCCAGGCTGAGATGGAGGGCCGGGACTGGAGGGCCAGGGCGCCTGCTCCCTGAAACAGGGGAGCCCGGGGCTTCCCCCAAAGCCGGGTCTTGCCTGTTCCTCTTGCATGCCTCTGTGTGCCGTGCCGTGCTAACAGAGCGCTCACGTCTTCTAACTCTCAAAACTAGCCTGGATCTCTCTTGCTTACCAGAATCGGGGGGGGGAAAGAGCCGGAGGGACAGATTGCGCCCCGACGTATGTGGAAACGTTACTGAAGATGCTGCTAATTGCTGTGTGCAGCTCGGGGCGAGCTGGCACCATCGTTTTATTTTTGTTTAGAAGAACTTAGTTCCTTAATGGGGTGTTTTTCCCTGAACTTTGGAAGCGTATCAGTGCCCAGGGAGTGCCCTGCGCTTCGGAGGCAGGCTACGAGGAGCTGAGCTGGCGCCGGAGAGGTCGGGCGTTTCTGCTTTCGGCACGGCGCCAGGCTGGCACCCCCGGGGCGGTGCCTTGCTTCGGCTTTTGGGGACCGCGTCCCATCGGGAAGGTGACCCTAGGGTAACTTCCCCCACCGTGTCAGGAGGGTTAGCGTTAGCTTTTCTGTGAAGGGGGAAGGGGAAAAAAAAAAAAGTTGTGCTTCCCTGGAGAAGCTGTCTCCAGGGTGTCAAATCCCTTCCCCGTCTCGGTCTGGCTGTTCTGGCTCTGCTTAATTTAACAGAGCTCAGTTCTTGCTCCAGCTTCTCCCCGCAGCACAAGGACCAGCTCTCTGAGCCTGTCACCTGCCTGTTGGTTTCTGTCTCCGGAGCTCCTCTCTGGATCGTTTTCTCCCCAACTCCCCCGCAAACGCCCGGCCAGCCGCAAGCACAGGGAGGCCGAGAGGCCCCCTCGGTGTCCTTGGGAGCTTTAGGGAGCAGCGAGCGCCCGGTCAGCCCGGACAACTGAGCCACCTAGCTGCAGCTCTCTTGCAGGCGGCGGTGGGAGGGTTTTAATTCTCGTCAGAATAATGAATCATTCTCAAAAATCGGAGGCGTCAGAATGCAGATGAGCCTTCCCTGCTTTGTCCTGTGTCTGCTAAGCTGGGCTTCATAGTAATAGCCCTTGTATCGCTTAGCCCCGAGCAGGGGTGGGAGAAGCAAACACGCCACCCCAGTGAACTGGCGAGGCAGGGGCCGGGAGTTCAGGACTTCAGCTCTCAGCTCGGGGGGGGCGGTGGGGGGTGGGGTGTTAGCTCGGGGAACTCTTGCACAAGCTCCTTCAGCGAAACCGTAGCCGGAGGCAGGCGAAAAAAGCTTCACTCCGATTCCTCCGGCTTCCTTCCGTTGGTGGAAACGTGCCCTGGCTCACCGGCAGCGGGAGGATACGGCTCTTCCCTGTCCTCGGAGCCCCGCGAGCCCCGGACCTGCTTCAGACATTACAACTCCGAGCGATGTATTATTATTATTTTTTTTTCCCCCCTCCTGCTCCTCAGCTGAGGTTAGACCCCCTTTTGGCTGAGCCAGCCTGGGGCTGCTCCCCGGCCTCAGCCAGCTTAATTTAAGTTAAGGGAGATCCGGCTAGGGTACCGCGTTGCCGGCCGAACCCACTGGAGGTCAGCCCCGCGTGGGCGTCCCCGGGGTCGGGGTCTACCGGTATCGCGCCGCCCGCCTTGCGTACGCGCTACCGTGCTCCCTCTCTGTGTGTGTGTGTGTGTGTGTGTGTTTGCAGTGAACAGCATCACCTTGGCGGTGAATCTCGTTGGCTGCCTCGCATGGCTGATTGGAGGCGGTGGAGCTGTTAATTTTGGACTGGCAATTCTCTGGCTCATTCTCTTTACGCCCTGCTCCTATGTCTGCTGGTTTAGACCTATTTACAAAGCTTTCAAGTAAGTGGTCACACCTCAGCCCGGCTTCTCGTGGTCTTTTGTTTGTTTGTTTTCCTTCCTGAACGGTTAGCGCTTAGCACCGCCTGAACATTTGGGGGAATTTCTGCTCTCTCTGGCCAGCCCTTTAGCTTTAACTTTTCCAACCTTCAAAGCAAGGCTGTTTGGGACTTCCCGAGGGCCAAAACCCCAACCATGCGACATAAAGACACCCTACGTGTGCCTCCGCACAGCGTCGGGGGGAGCGGCGAGGATGCAGTTGGGGTGCCAACTCTCTCTCCCCTCCCGCCCATCCTCGAGGCTTCTTTTATATTTTTCCACGAGTCCTCGAGGTGCTTCTATTGATTATCTGTGCTGCTGAGGTCAATCCCCGGCGCGGTACCCCCAAACCTAGAAAACTGGGGGTGGATTTCTTCCCCGTGCGGGAAGGTTGAGTCTGGTGGTGGGGCGGCGCGAGCCGAGAGCCGTGTCTGAACGCGGACGCCCTCTTCCCCTGGGGTGCAGAGCTGGCCGAGCCGTGGGGAGGGTCTGGCGGCCCGTGGCTTTCCCAGGTGCCCCTTCGCCACCTTCAGCCTCTCGCAGTTTCTCCCTTGCCTGCATTTTTCCCCGGTGCCTGCTGCCTTGCAGGCAGCTCCGCTTCTCACCACCTTCTCGCTAAACCACAGCCGCTTCTGCCCCGAAAGGGTCCGAGACGTGGGAGCATCTCCCTTCCCTTGCAATGCGGCGGGGGTGGAGGCGTAGGGAGTGACCGAGCCTTCTCTTGCAGGACAGACAGCTCGTTCAGCTTCATGGCCTTCTTCTTCACCTTCATGGCCCAGCTGGTGATCAGCATTATCCAGGCAGTGGGAATCCCTGGCTGGGGCGTCTGGTAAGGAAGACGCTGCTCCCGCGTCGGGTGCGAGGACGGTCACCGTTGAGCCGCTGCTGTGGCCTCTCGGTGTTTTTTAACATCCTCAGCGCTTCAGTAGCTTCTCTCTTCAGGGAAGATGGTTTGAGGAGCTGGGAGGGACGCTGGCAGGCTGCGGTGCGCAGAGCCAGCCGGGAAAGCCCCGGGGCTGCTGAACGGACCGGTCGTTTTCGTCTCCTTGCAGCGGCTGGATCGCAGCCATTTCCTTCTTCGGGACCAACGTGGGGTCGGCCGTGGTGATGCTGATCCCCACCGTCCTGTTCACGGGGATGGCGGTCTTCTCCTTCATCGCTCTCACCATGGTACGGGAGGAGAGGGGGGTGCCGCGTTGCTTCGGGGAGCCCTTGCCGCTACCCGGGAGGGTCAGCGCGAGCTGCCGTCCCTCAACGGGGGAGCAGAGGGATCCAGAGCGAAAAAACTCTGGATTTTTCTCTTTCCAACCTGCTACAGGTGCATAAGTTTTACCGGGGGAGCGGCGGGAGCTTCAGCAAAGCCCAGGAGGAGTGGACCACGGGGGCGTGGAAGAACCCCCAGGTCCAGCAGGCAGCACAGAGCGCGGCCATGGGGGCGGCGCAGGGGGCCATGATGCAGCACGAGACGCAGTACTCGGCCACCCCGAACTACACCTACTCCAACGAGATGTGAGCAGCAGGACTCTGTCCTCGGGCGAAAGATCTGGGGGGGGAAGGGAGGAGGAGGAGGAGGAGGATGGCTGAGCCGAGTTTCTGCAGCTATTTCAGAAAGTCGGAGTGTACCATAACAGTTCTTCTTTTCCCATTCTTTGTAACGAGATCCTTTTGGATTTTTTTCTTTTTCTTTTCTCCCCCCGTTATCGTCTTGAGCTCTTCTTTCCTCTCTTATTTTTCACTTTGAAGAGGCCGCGAGTTGACCTGCAGGGCTCTTGTCGTGCGCGGTAGTAAGTGTACGTTCACGTGTCTTCTTTTTCCCTGTGAAATAGTGTACGGTGGTGGTTTTTTAATTACTGTGGTGATAGGTGTACGTTAGAACTACATCAGCCAAAAGCCCACACCT